GGGGCTCCGTAAAGTGGAAGGGGGTCCCTCGCATTCAGAGGCAGCCTCCGGGCTGACACTATCTCCCCACTTGCTCTCCCTGCCCCTGCTGCTCCTTCTGCTTGGGCCTTGGAGAGGGGTGCAGGGAGGGAGTGGTTAGTGCCCTGCACTGGCCAGGATAGGTCACAAGCTTGTCAGGGTCTCAGATGGGAAAGGAGACCATCTCACCCTTCAGTCCCCCTCCTGAGATTCCCGACTGACTCTCCATCAGCAGAGAGCCCCAAGGTGGGGACAAGTGCAATTCTGGGGCAGGACATCCACCCTTTAGCAGCTGCCCCCCCACACCGGATATGGCTGCTGCAGGGGAGATCCGGGGCCACGCACCAGCTATGAATTAGGACCCGTTATATAGAGCCCCTGCTAGGTCTCGGTTTCCTCCTGTGTTAAAGGAACACTGGTCCACTTGCCTCCCAGGGCTGACGTGGACATTGGGAGGAGACCCTTCTCCCAGGCCCTTCTTCTTTGTGTGGGACCTTCCCCTCCCCACTCGCTGCTGTCATTTCCGGTTGTGCCGGTCCCACCCCCTCGTTTATCAAAGACTCTGGCTTCTGACTTACAGCCTTCCTCTACCCTATGCCCTCTGTGATCCTTCTAGATGACATCACCATCCACGCAGACAGTGACCTGGCCAGCACCCTGGCCTCTCGGCTCCTTGAGCGCCCTCTGGCCAAGGACCTCACCCCCACGTCCTGCTCTGGTTTTGCCATAGCTTGTCACTGCTCTACCTTGAAAAAGACTCTCTCAAATGTCCCACCCTTGACCAGCCCTTTGTCATCTGCCCTCTTTAGGCTTCAGCTGTTCCTAACCCCCTGCTCTTTCTTTGCTCATGGTCCTCCGCTTCCTTCCCGTTCGTCCATCCTGCCCTATGCTGTCCTTCTTTCCCCTTCTAGGCCACGGTCTATCATTCTATACTATTTTTGCCAGGACCCTAAATCCCTTTGTCCCTCCTCTTTGATCACCACACCTGGCACCATCCCAGCCCTGGGTGAAGCCAGCCACACATTGTCCTGGGGCTCGTGCCCCAGCACTCAAGCACTGTGGTGGGAGCAGGGAGGCAGAGGACAGGGCAGACTGGCTTCCAACAAAGGTGTGATCTCCAGCCATTCAATGTCCCTTCCTCCCAGAAACCCTCTCCATTTCCCTAGTCAGCTCCTTCTCACTTTCCCTATCTCAAGCCTCCTCCATGTCCCTCATGCCTCCAGACCCCATCCATCCCCAAGTCGCAGCAGAGGTCCTTGCTCCCAACTTGTCTGAGAAGCTAATAGTCGCCACAGAGAAAGGTCCTTGGCTTCTGGGCCTGGCAGGTAAACGACTCCGGGCAGGTCCCCTGCACGCTCGTCTTCCTTTCTCCTGCTCAGGAGTCTTGCAGTGGTGGTCATCCCACCTCTCCACTGAGTCCTTTCTAGGCACTTAAATATATTCAACTCCCTCCCACCATTAGAAAGAAAGGAGGGGAGCACCTGGGTGGCTCAGTGGGTTAAGCCTCCACCTTCAGCTCAGGTCATGATCTCAGGGTCCTGGGATCAAGCCCCGCATCGGGCTCTCTGCTCAGCGGGGAGCCTGCTTCCCCCTCTCTCTCTCTGCCTGCTTGTGATCTCTGTCAAATAAATAAATATTTTTTAAAAAGAAAGAAGAAAGAAAGAAAGAGAGAAAGGAGGGAGAGGGGCAGGCAGGGGAACGGAGAGCAACCGCTCACTTGGTCCTCATTCTCTTCCAACCATCACTTCCTCCTTCATTATCCCCAGCTTCTCAAAGTAGCTGCTGGACCATATCACCTTCATCTCTTACTCCCCATCACTCTCCCACCATCCCTGCCTGGGCTCCCATCCCTCCGCATCACCAAAACAGCTCCCACTAACAGCCCCTACGGCCACCTCTCTGCATTTTAACCCATGTCTTGCCTGACCTTGGAGCATCACCTGCCCCTGCTCACTATCCCTCCTTAATTGCTCTCCTCCTTCGGATTTGGGGACACCTGATGCTCTCCTCCTGCCTCTCTGTCCTCTTTTTGTGGTCTCCTAGTGCTGGCTCTTTCTCCATTGCTGACCCATGGAAGCTGGAATCTGAGGCTTCTGGTTCTTTGCTGTCCCCCTGGCTAATTTTATTTACATCTGTGATATTAATGAGCAATTGCAAATAACACATTAATCTTTTACCCAGGTCCACGTGTGCACCTGCCATTTCGGACTTCTACTTCAGACACTTCTTTTTTTTTTCTCCCCACCTCCCTTCCACCTGGGATATTTCAAAGGAACCCCACACTCAACAGGTCCTCAAATTCATGGTCTCCCCAGACCCCTTTCTCTCTGGAATCCCACTCCTCTTCCTTGCACCCTCGGCATCGCCAGGAGTCCAGGAACCTCTCGCTCCTTCACTCTCCATATCCCATCCATCACCCAATTTCATTTCCTGAATTTTTCTCTAAGCCATCCAATCTTTTCTCTCTCTACCATGCCCACCTCTCCTGGTCCAACCCAGTTCTGTGGCTGTGGTTGTCTAACGGGCATATGCCACATGATTCTGGACCATTCTAAAGTCCCTGCTAAGCCACACTGTAGCCACCATGTCTTTGCAAAACACATCTGGCTACATCATCATTCCTGTCTTCAACTGTTTGCCGCTTGTTCCCTTCAGGTAAGCATAGCACCGAGCTCAAGAACTTGTCATGGTTTGACCCTTGAGTCGGCTGTGTGATGAGTTTGGGGACATACCGTCTAAGCTTACAAGCTGACGACATCCATTATTGTTAGTGTGATCTTGGGCAAGTTCCTTTCTGAATCCTCCCGTATCTGTTTCCTCATCTATAAAATGGAACAATAAGGCAACGACCTCCCACAGATGTTCATAAGAGTTGAATGCATTAGACATTTAGAATGGCTTCTGGCACATAATGAACATTCAGCAAGCATTTGCCCTTCCCATCCTCTGCCTTCCCATCCCATCATCTCTCACGCCACTTCCTCTGCTCTCCGTCTAGCCACACTGGCTTTCTTTTGGCCCTTATTCCTCATTGTGCTTCTTCTCTCCACAGGGCCTTTGCACATGCTCCTGCCATCCAGACTCTATTTCTTTCCCTCTTCAGCTATTCATTGCCCGCCTATGTGGCCTTCAAATCACAACCCAAGTGTCATTTCCATAGAGACGACTTCCTGGAGGCCCCTGACTTACCAGTCACCATCATTATGTTATGTTTTTTATGTTGTGATGATAATCTATCTCTCCTACAGACTATGGGATCCACGAGAGCAGAAATGGTATTTATTCTTGTCACTTTCATAATCCCAGTGTCTAAAAAGTATCTGACAAATAATAAATGTTCGGTGCATATTGTCTCATGGATGAAGAGCACAGGCCTATAGGAATGCTTCCTAAAAATTCTTTCAATCTGACAAGAAAGGTCCCCAGCTCTGAGGGGTTTTAGACTTTTCCTCTGCCTTCAGAGCCTTCCCTCACCACCAACAACAGTGCCTGAAAATTCTCCAGTAAGAGTTTACACCAGGAAGCACCAGGTCCCCCCATCATTCGGTGAGGGTGTTAAAATCTCAGAGGACCAAACATTCATTAGCCAACACATTAGTAACAGAGATGAGCTCCTCTGGGTCTTTTTTTTCTTTTAAGTAGGCTCCATGACCATGGCGGGGCTTGAACTCACCACCCTGAAATCAAGGGTCAGACGCTCTACCAGCTGAGCCACACAGGTGCCCCATCTCCTCTAGTCTTTACTGCTCCCAGCTGGTGCAGAGAGCAGCACCCTGGAGGCAAAGAACAGAACACTAGAGTGTCTGGCACCCTCAGGGCTATCTGGCACCTGCCTTGTGCTACAGATTTAAGGACTGGGACCCAGAGAGGGGAAGGGAGAGGCCTAATGTCACACAGCAAGTTCATGGTAGAGTCAAAGCCAGAACCCAGGTCCCCAGTTCACTCATTTGATAAATGCTAAGCCACCCTTTGGGCAAGAGGCAGACACATATCCACACAGGTAACTCTGATAGGGGACAGCTGAGGTCCGCATTCTCCTGGAAGGGCTCGCATCACTCGGTGGAAGCCCACAGCAGAAGACAGTCAGTTCCAGGCTGAATCGGGGCCTGTTGCCTAGCACAGGTGGTGATATTTGAAATGCACATGAAGGCATGAGCAGGGAGAGGCCAGGAGAGGACATTGGAGGCTGAATAAATAGCACCCATCCTGGGATTCGGGGGCCAGGTGTCTGTCCGGAGGACTGGCCTGGACTGTAAACTACAAGGAAAAGGGAAGGTGGTAGAGACAGGGCCCAGAAAGGGCTCAGGGTGAAGCTGGAAGGGAAGGAGGGGTTTGGAGACCAGCCTCCCACCTCTTCTTCTGAGAGCTGCCCTTCCCTCCCATTAACACTGGGTCCACTGAAGGGGGACACACACCCCTTCCCCCAGCTCCCTGCTTCCCGGGGGCCCCACAAGGCACTGCGGTGTACTTCCCCATGAACGGCTGCTGCTAACAGGGGCCCAGAGACCCTGGGTCTGGCTCTGTCCTGAACAAGCTGGGAAGAGCTGCCCATGTTCCAGAAGGAAACTGAGACGCAGCGTGGGAGAAGCCGGTCAGGGACACAGCTAGGGTTAATGCAGAGGATGGAGCTTGAAGGGTACAGAGGGGCGAGTCTGGCCGGGAGGTGGGAAAACTAGGCTGTGCACCTCTCTTGGCCCTGTTTTCCTGAACACTGCTGTTTCTCATCAGTCTCTGCCCGGTCGGGGGCCGCAAGGCCAGGCTGAGATGGGGCCACTGGCGTCATGGGGCATGGCATTGCTTTCCCACAGCCCTGGTTCTTCCCCTGGTTCCCCAGCTCTGTGTCGAAACCTGGTCACCCTTCACCCCCCCTAGTCCCCCGGGGGGATTTATTACTGGCCGTCCTCCATCTGCCCCACGATCATAAATCAAGGCAGAGCAAAATCACAACCTCCCAAATGCGGAGCGCATAAAAGAAGGGCTCTGGGAGCCACAAGGCTTCAGGGGATCCCTGAGGGAGTCAGGCACTCAGGCCAAGCATGGACCAATGGAGCAGAATGCCTCGCTGGGGACTCCTGCTGGTGGTCTGGGGTGCCTGCACCTGCGGCCTCCCCGCAGACACAGGCGCCTTCGGAAGGTAAAGGGCTGTGTGGGTGGGGGCCGGGGCTCCCAGCTTCCAGACAGGGGGTGTCCCCCAGTCCTCACCACCAGCTGGGCAGGGAGATGCGGTCCCATTCAGAGAGGTGACTCGCCGGTATCCTATGGCCAATAGGGGCACACGACTCAGTCCGATAAGCCATGTCCTTTGATCTCTGCCCAAAGCTTTTGCTCCTGCATGAATCACCATGCGAGGCACTGTGGGGATGATTAAGACCTACCCCTTGCTCTCAAGGAGCTCACAGCCTAATTATGAAGAAGGGGTTGCTATGGGGAAGCCCACCAAGAAAGAATACAGTGGTGGAACATAAGCCTTCCAGAGTTTCGTTGTCTTGGGTTAAATCCTGCCCCAGCGGCTGACCTAACTAGTTCAGGAAGCCTGGGCAAGTTACTTAACCTCTCAAGGGCACAGTTTAACTGTTTAAAACCAGAGATAATAACAGCACGTACTTCACAGATCTGCTTTGAAGATTTAATGAGATAACGAACGTAGAGCTCTCAGCATGATACCGACAAGCCCCAGAAACCAGCTGGTGTTAGTCCTACAGGCGGGATTGTCACCGGTGTTAAAAGAAAGGCTTAAGACAGCCCAGAGGAGGGAGGAGGAGGACCGAACTAGCACCCGCACCCAGGGCCAGGCCCGTGGGAACCCGGCCCATTAAGTTCACGAGGGTCATTAAGCCTGCAGAAGGGGGAGAAGCAGGACAATGAGGACCTTGAGGAGAAAGGGTTTCAGGGTAGGGGGGACCAGAAGATCTCAAGGTAAAAAGGCAGGCTGAGGTGCTTTGTTTTTTTAAGATCTCACTTTTAAGGAATCTCTACACCCCACATGGGGCTTGAACTCATATCATAACTCTGAAACCAAGAGTCACATGTGCTACAGACTGAGCCACCCCCAGGCCCCTAAGAGGATAGGTTTCAACAGTGGTCATAGTTACTAAGCCTGTAAAATGCCTAGGATTTCACAGGATCTTTCCTCGTATCTCAAATCCTCTTGCCGACAACCCAACAGTTCCATTTTCAAGTGAGGACACCGACGCTCAGGGAGATCACGTGTGAGAGGCTGAGACTCAACACCTACGGGGTCTTTTGTTTCCAAAGCCTCTTCCCTTGCTCTGAGGCTCCCAGAGGGCAACTGCTAGGGCAGGGGTGTGGGGTGAGACTATGGCTGGGTGCAGCCCCTGCACCCAGGGTAAAGGCAGAACAAGATAAAAAACATTCTCCCTTGTTCTCTTTATTTTTTTTTAAAGATTCTATTTATTTGAGAGAGAGAATGAGATCGAGAGAGCATGGGGGAGAGGGAGGGTCAGTGGGAGACGCAGATTCTCAGCTGAGTAGGGAGCCCGATGCAGGGCTCGATGCAGGGCTCCATCCCAGGACTCTAGAATCATGACCTAAGCCGGAGGCAGTCGCTTAACCAACTGAGGCACACAGGCGCCCAACTCCTCCTTGTTCTCTTTAAAAAGAGAAGAAGGGGTTGGGCCAGGAATGGAGAAAGAGGCTTTTGAAACACACAATGTTTCCCCCTGCTGTGTGCGCAGCGTCATACAAGGCACTCTGGGGCACTCCAGGAGATCTGAACACAGGACCCGGTTCTCGGGGCGTTCTGCCAGCTCTTGCACACACACTTTCCATTTATTGAGCAGTGGGCAGCATGTTTGATCTGCACTGTGATCTCATAGGGGAGGTCATGGGGACGCACAAAAAGGCCCAGAGAGGTTAGGTAGGTTGATCCGAATCACACAGTAATAAGGGATCTAAGCGTGAACCCACGACTGCTACATCCTCACCACCAGACACCACCGTGTGCACGAGCCCGAGGCTGTGCTTGCAGTGCTGGCTGTGAGTGCCCGAGGGAAAATGAAGCTGGAGCCCAAGCAGAGGTGGGGTGTGGGGGAAGGGACTTTCCAAAAGGAGAGTGGTAAGAGTAAAGGTCCAGAGCAGAGGCTGTTCAGGGTAAGTGGTAGAAAATGCACCCTCTTTAGGATGGGATTTCTCTGCTGCTCCATTTTCCCATCTGTGAAGTGGGAATAATCACCCACCCCAAGGGATGGCTGAGAATAAGATCGTCATTGTGAAACTTCTCTGTGAACAGTAAACGGTGACATGACTGTGATAAGTCATGTCCCTTAAGATAGGACACTGGCTGGCAGGAAAGCTGCACTGGGGTCCATGGGCATGATGGGGGTCTGGCAACACCAGGTAGGAGCAGGAAAGGGCTGTATAAATAGATGAGCAGCTAGAAAAGACAGGTTCCCCATAAGTTGGGCTGCATTCCCGGGACCCCCTGGCCAACAGCTAGACACACACACACACACACCCTCAGGCTTCCACAAAGAGCCGTCACATGGAAGCCCTGGGATTGCCCTCTAGGGAACATGACTAGACACACTGCTTCAAATCCCCGCTACATCCTTTCTGAGTCCCCCCACCCCTGGGAGCCTCTGCTTCCTGGTCATAGAATGAGGATGACAACGATGGCCTCATGAGGGCTACGTGGGGGTGAAGGGTGGTGTCTGGTGCTCACCAAGTGGCAGCTAGGTATGCTTTACCCCCCATCCCCAGTGTCTTTCATTCCACCTCCCAAAGGCGAGGGGCAGGCGACAGGGAAAGAAGCTGAAGGACTGGGACTCGGACTCAAGAAGGCATCTCTTTCCAAGGACAGAGGGCACAGGCACTCTGGAGATGCTGGCTGCTTTCCTCACCCCACCGGATCAGTCCTTCTGCTCCAGCCCACAGCCCTGGCTGGGTGTCTCACCCCGCGTGGCATCCCAGAGCCCCTGCAGGCTGCCGCGGGTGCCTGCCGCCACCTACAGGCCTCCCGCGGCACTGCATCCTCCTGTCCAGCCTTGAGGGGAGCACGCCAGTCGTCATCTTAGAGGGGATGTCATTGTTGGGTTTCCTCCTCTTCCTCCTCCCGCTCCTCGCCTGCTGGAGCTCCCTGAAGACAGCAATGATCTTTATCTTTCTATCTCTAGTATCCAGTGCAGTGCGGACACAGAGTAAGTGTTCAGCTTGTAATTATGGAATGAAAGAAAGAATGAACAGATGCCTTTGTAGTGATAGGGATCAAAATTCAACAGCAGAAGGAAGTGCACGGAGGATTATTTAATTCCAGTGCAGTTGACTCGAGGAGGCTTGCAAATTCTCTTCGAGAGGCCCTGGAGCACAGGAGCCATGCTTCAGAGTCTGGCTGGGTTAGGGAGAATTGTACTAGAAGCTTCGGGGACCCCACCATTATCATGGGGGAGTACAGAGCCCTTCTGGTTTTTCCCTCCTTCCCCCTGGACCAGGATCTTCCTAAAGAAAATGCCCTCCATCCGGGAAAGCCTGAAGGAGCGAGGCGTGGATGTGGCCAGGCTTGGTGCTGACTGGAGCCTTTTCACCAAGAGACTCTCCTTCGGCAACGGCACCTCCCCCGTGGTCCTCACCAACTATCTGGACGTGAGTGCCCGGCTGGAGCCTTGTTCCTCCGTCTATTTTCTCTCTCGGACCCAAGGCTTTCTGTGCTCTTTCCACGCTGTCTCTGATGGAGCTGTTGAACCACACTGGGCAGCCTATAAAATTCCCATTTCAGAGCTGGGAAGGCTGAGGCACAGAGGGCCGAAAGGAGCCCAGAAGCAGAGTTAGGTTGGGAACGCAGGAATCCAGGCTCTGGGCCTCGAGCCCAGGTGTCCCTGGTGGGTAGGACGGGTATGTGACCTCAGGGACAGGTCTGTGACAGGCTCTGTACATCATGACTACTGATTACATTAGTATCCCCCCAGATGTGGGACACCTTCCTGCTTCATTTTCAATATTTTTATTTTGCTCTCTTGTCTCACTTCCTGGGAAGTCCTAAGATGGTACTCAGCCTTACACCGAGGCCCTGCCAGAACGTGGAAACCCAGAGAGGCTGTGTGAGCTACCTCATCTCACCTCACGTGCCAGAAGGGGTATCAGGCAAAAGCCCAAGGCTCCCGAGCCTCCCCATACCCCAGCTGCCTCTTTCCTTTCACCCTCACAGACCCAGTACTATGGGGAGATTGGCATCGGCACCCCACCCCAGACCTTCAAAGTCATCTTTGACACGGGCTCGGCCAACCTCTGGGTGCCCTCCACCAAGTGCAGCCCTCTCTACACGGCCTGTGGTGAGCTCCCTGCCTCCCCCCACCCCGCCCGTCCCCGCAAGACCTGAGGTTCCTCTACCAAGCCCTCTCCACGTCTGGCCAGTCCTGCCTCACACCCTCTGCCGCCATCAGATCCATCTCCTCTCTGTCCCTGCTCTCACCGCCCCCGAGAGGAGAGATGAAAATGCCCCCCATTTTCCCCGATATGACCACCAAGGTAAAATGGCAAGCCAGAAGAGTCCCCAGCCTGCCCACAAGGCCATTTCTCCCCTTTCCTGAGACTGGGAGAGGACTGACTTCTCCTTAGTCAACAACCTCTTAGTTAATGCTCACTGGGACCAGAATCTTTTCCACACCCCTGCATTAGAAATGCTTCATTAGAGACAAAATTCTCACAGATCTGGGCACCTGACAGGGGCTCAAGAAACCACATAGTCCTTGATTGATGAAACACATTTTCAAGCCTCCAACCACAGGGCCACCCCACCCCTGTACCTAAGTCCTCAACCACAGGGACCATACACCCAGGGCACCTGCCTCCCCGGCCCCCTGGCCAGGCCTCCATCGGACAGCCCTGAGTCTACGTCTCCCTGACAGAGATTCACAGCCTCTATGACTCCTCGGAATCATCCAGCTACATGGAGAACGGGACGGCATTCACCATCCACTATGGATCCGGGAAAGTCAAAGGCTTCTTGAGTCAGGACATGGTGACTGTAAGTGGGAGTGCCCCAGGTCACTTGACACCTGCCCTTTTTGGTCCCCAGCCGTCTCCTACTGCCCGAGGGCCCATACTTGGGGAGGGTACAGTTCAATCTACCTTGGAGCCTGGGGAGGGGAGGAACCCTGACCCCCACCTGCCAGGGGCCAGGGAGGCAAAGCAGCAGCATCTGGGACCCAGCAAACCTGAGCTCCTGGTTGCACGCGGGGACATTTATGGAGCCTTTGACCTCGAGCTCACCCAGCTCTGACTGCGCTCTTCTTAACCAGACACCAGACTGAAATCAGGGTCTGAGTCAGGGTCAGTGGTACTGGTGAGGTTAGGGTCAGAATTTGTTTTAGGGTGAGGCATAGGTGTCAAGTTCACAGCCAAGGTTAAAGTTTGGGCTATGGTCAGGGCTACAGAATGGAATGTGAGAGCTAATCAGTAGGAGCCCTTACCCTCCCCTTGTCTGTGAGACCAGGGGAGGAAGCCTGGCTGGGCTGAAGGAATCCTTACCCACAGTGGGGGTGGGGAACTGAGGCCCAGCTCTGCCATTGTGGAAGCTGGGCCCCTGGGGAAGGGGTGTGGAAGCTCCTGGTGCCTTTTGTTACTTTCTGGCAGAACCGTCTTCTCAGCCTCTGCCCCTCCCAGCCTTGGGGCAAGCCTGGTTCTCTCTGGACCCCCACAGCCTGCACAAGTATTAGAAGAGAGGATATGGGGGGGCCAGTGTGGGGGTGATTGATGAAATGGTCTCATGCCAAATTTCTTCACCCTAGGGCATGTGGGCCGTAGACTAGACCCTGGTCAGGAACAGGACAGTAGGCTTGGTCTCTTCTGGTCCTTTCTCCCACAGGTGGGCGGCATCACAGTGACACAGACATTTGGAGAGGTCACAGAGCTGCCCCTGATCCCCTTCATGCTGGCTAAGTTTGATGGGGTTCTGGGCATGGGCTTCCCAGCACAGGCTGTTGGCGGGGTCACCCCTGTCTTTGACCACATCCTCTCCCAGGGGGTGCTAAAGGAAGATGTCTTCTCTGTCTACTACAGCAGGTGAGCCTGGGGCTCCAGGGGCCGCGGCAGGGGGAGGGAGGGAGGGAGGCAGGAGAGCAGGAAGAGAGTTGGGACTGGAATTTTGACGTGTTCATGACTAAGAGGCATTCAGTTCATATACAGAACTCCACTATCCAGGTTGGAAGCCGCCACTTAAATTTAAATTAAAATTTTTAAAAAGTTCCTGAGTCACACGGCCCCATTTTAAGTGTTCAGCAGCCGCAGTTACTAGTGGCTACATACTGGGTAGTAGAGATAGAGAACATTTCCATCATTATAGAAAGTTCTTATTAGCATTGCTCTAGAACAAGAGGAAAATGCAAACTGGGGGAGATGGAAAGTAAAGCATTACTGTAAGGGGCCCACGACCCCACTCACACAGAAAGAGGACTTCACTCATTAATTCTTTCATTTATTTGCCCCTTCATTGATTCAACAAATATTGGGTGTTCATGTGCCAAACGCCATGAGAAGTCCTGGGGTGCAGCCATGAACACATTATACAGGACAGAGTCCCTGCCCTCACAGAGTTTACGGTCTGGAAGGAAGACAAGAAACACCATGACATAATGTGCAGCAACAGGGAGCGAGGGGCTGAAACCCATAGGTGCCTTTTTACTCTGGGCTGAGCTTATGTGGAGTTCAGCCAGTCTCGGGGAAGCCGTTGCCAGCTGTTGGGTTGGTTGCTGGGTCTGGAAAGGCAGTAAGAGCTGGACACGAGGAGTCCTAAGGGGAGGAACACAAGGCGAGTGGAGGGGAGGCTCGGGGCCCAGAGAAATCACACGGGTAAAAGGAAACGCAAAGGCCACCAACGGGCCCTGTAGCCAGGGGCAGTCACTGGCAGAGCTGTCTCGGAGATGGGGCGTGGCAGACGGCCAGCCGTTGGGAGGTAGATGTGGGCGTCAGGAGGCGAGGGCAGATGAAGAATGCCCTGAGAGATTCGACAGGGAAGGAAATGTCAGGAAGGGGGTACAGGTGGAGAAGCAGAGAGAAGGGTGGGTGTTTGGAAATGCTGGGGGAGGCCAGAGCCTGCTAGCAGGTGGAGGAAGAAGCCAATGGAAAGTGAGAGATGGAAACTCTGGAAGAAAGGAGAGGAACATGGAGGGCGCGGGAGCCTGGAGGCCACGGGAGGGAGGAGAATCCAGCAGGCAGGAAGAAGAAGGGCCTTGTGGAGAAGAGGGCCGGCTTCTTCCTTGACCCTGGGACAGGGAGGAGGGAACCTCAGAAAGATCTTGAAGTGTTGGGAGTGGAGCAGAGGTGGCTGGTGTTTGCACATGCGCATTGTACAAGGGCAGTGAGGTACACGTGCCCACAGAGCATGTGCCAAACCTCCCAGGTGCCCGTTGGAAAACCCCCAACCCACACATGCACATGGGAAACCAGCCTCCTGGGGTAGACCCTGAGCTGTGGGAGGTGCTGTGCAGCAGGGAGGAGAGGAAGACAAGGGGGTTAGCTGTGGACGGGGCACCGGGAGCCTGTCTCCGCTCACCCCACTCCCCCCTGCTGTGTGACTTCACCTAAAGAGTAAAAAGCGGGCATGGTACCCACCCTGCCCAGCAGAGAGACTGGTGAGGCTCAGCTGAAACCTAGCCCTCTGCTCTGCTGTGTCTTTTTCTCTGCAGAAGCTTCAAGTAAGGAGCTGAGCCCCACCCCCGACCCCTGGCCCTGACCCTGACCCTCCTGAACACACCAGAGTCCGATTCACAGCGGCCACCCAGCCCAACTCGCCTGTGCAGGCCCCAGCTCTGCCGGATGCCGATGTTGTCCACCCCTCCTTCCAGTTCGCCTCCTGCCCCTTACCCGCTCTGACCCCACAGGTCCCCAAGAGCTCCCCAACCCACACACCTGCTCAACCTGCAGCTCCCCAAACCCAAGTGAGGGTGCAGCCAACTGTCACCTTGCCTTCTGCTCACGGTCCTTGTGCCGGATCCTTCTCTGGGGGGATGCTTGAGCGGGTGCAAGGAAGGTGGAGAAGTGGTGTTCCTGCAGCTTCCCGGCCATGCCACCCTTCCCACCGTCCTCTGTCCTCTCCCTCCCATCCCCACCCCTGTCTCCTTGCCCAACTGCCCTGGTTGCTGGGGTGCCGGGTCTCCAGGTGATGGGTCTTCAGGAGCTCTGATCTTTCCTCTAGGGATTCCCACTTGCTCGGAGGAGAGCTTGTCTTGGGAGGCAGCGACCCCCAGTATTACCAAGGGAATTTCCACTACGTGAGCGTCAGCCAGACTGGCTCCTGGCAGATCAAGATGAAAGGGTCAGGAACCCTCCACCCTCCTGCTCTCCAGAACTGCTGCTGCTGTTGCTGCGGGGGGTAGGGGTGGGCGTGGGAAGGGGCAGCCTTACCATCTTGTCCTCTGTCCTAAAATGCAGTACCTTCTTAAGGCACAGCCTACATTTGCTCTCTGGGCGCTCTGCCCAGGGCTGGGGAACACGGAGTTATGATGAGCAGAGGGGAGGGGGTCCACTGAGAGGAGGTGGCGGGTCACCAGGCAGTATGCTGGGAATGGGGACGGCACCTTTCCTCCTCCAGTGCATGCCTTCCCATCCTCCAGTGCATCCCGGGACCACCAGCATGGGCCCCCGCCCCCGCCACTGGCCTCACTCAGAGAAACTATGCAGCCTGGCGGGGTCCCATTAGCCTGCTGTCTGTCTGACGCTCCAAATGGCCTCCCCCAGGGTGTCTGTGAGGTCGGCCACCGTGGTCTGCGAGGAGGGCTGCATGGTGGTGGTCGATACTGGTGCGTCGTACATCTCGGGTCCCACAAGCTCCCTGAGGCTGCTCATGGACACCCTGGGGGCCAAGGAACTGAGCACAGATGAAGTAAGTTGGGGGAGTGAGGGCACCAGAGGCTGCTGGGAGCACAACCTGGGCCCCAGAATTACCCCAGAAGCAGTAGGTTCCAAGTGGGGCCATTCTAGGGCTTCCCCTCCTCTCCTCTCACTCCTCCAGCAGAGGGGCCCAGCCACAGGCACGGGGCTGTGTCTGCTGGGGGACTTCCCACACTCAGCGGGTTCCTTTTACCTTCTCCTCAGTATGTCGTGAACTGCAACCAGGTGCCGACCCTCCCCGACATTTCCTTCCACCTTGGAGGAAGAGCCTATACCCTCACCAGCTCGGACTATGTGTTACAGGTGAGGATCCAAGCCGTCCCTCAGCGACAGGGAGGACGGGGGCGCAGGGGCCTCTAAAAGGGACCAGGTCTTATGCCTCATCAGTGGTTCTCAAACTCAGCTACAAGTTAGAGTCACCTGGAAGCTTTACAAATCCCACTAACAAGGGGCGCGTGGTGCAGTCCGTTAAGGGTCCGACTCTTGGTTTCAGCTTGGGCTCGTGATCTCAGGGTCATGACCTCGGGCTCATGATCTTGGGGTTGCGAGATCGAGCCCTGCCTTGGGCTCTGCACTGAGCACGGAGTCTGCTTGAGATTCCCTCTCCCTCTACCCCTCAGGCCGGTGCTCTCTGTCTCACAAATAAAGAAGCAAACAAATCTTTGAAAAATCCCAGTAACAAACCACAGCCCATACCTATTAAATTAGAAGCTCTGGTGCTGAAGCCTGGGCATCAGTGTTTTTTCAAAATTCCCCAGGTGATTCCAATGTACAGCCAAGTTTGGGAATCACTGTGCTCATCCCCTTGTCTCCACCTTCTCAGCAGCTGCCCCCAGTAATGCTATGTGACTACACTTTTAACCCCTTTTATGCCCAATGGACTTAGGGCAGCTAAATAACTTGCGTAGGATCAGAAGTTCTGCCAGAATGTAAGCTCTTGGAGATGCATTGTGCCTGACGCAGTGTTTGCCCGGTGTCCAGCTCAGTACCCGCATCCAGGAGGATGCATGTTGGGTTGAAAGGGCAAGAGAGGCCGGAGTCGATGGGAGAGGAAGGGGTGAATGTTGCTGAGGACAGCTGCTGGGGTCAGGCGAGGGGGAAGGAGAAAGGTCCTGTGCCAGGCAGTGGCGAAAACCCTCTCGCTTCCTGCCAGGATTCCTATGGTAATGATGACTTGTGCACCCTGGCCCTCCATGGTCTGGATGTCCCACCGCCCACCGGGCCTGTCTGGGTCCTGGGCGCCAGCTTCATCCGCAAGTTCTACACGGAGTTTGATCGGCATAACAATCGCATCGGCTTTGCCCTGGCCCGCTGAGAGGCGCTCTGCTGCCCAAGTGGGCCCTTCCTTCAGCCCTAGCCCGGAGCTAGAGCACTCCGGGACGCTCCCCCGCCGGAGCCCTCACGCAGGGGCATGGGGTGTGGAGCTCCTCCCCGATGCTTGCTCTGCCTCCAGCATCAGCGCTTCCCTGCTTCGAGAACAAACAATAAAGACTTCATGTTCACAGCCCTGTTGCACCTGGGTTCACTGGGGTCTGAGATGAGAGACGCAGCCAGGGATCATGTGCAGACAGGAATGTGACATAGAACGACAAACTATAAACTCACCCGCACGCACAGGTTCCTGCGTGCAGGGGTGATGCCATTCATCCTCGCTCAGGTGGGGCTGCTGACACACACAGCCAGCTCCGTGCTCCCCCGCAGCACCTGCAGGACCAGGGCTAATGCTGTGACCTGAGACTGTGGGTCAGAAAGGTGCTCCCAGCTGGTAGAAGCCAGCCTCAAACTCAGGCTCCGCTGGGCCCCTCGTGCACGACACATCCCTTAGCCCCCCAGCCCATGTCGCCATTGACACATGTAGTCTAAGACACCATCGCCTGGCAATGTGGAACACCAGAGATCTGACTGATACTCCCTTTGTACATGCGGGGAAACTGAGGCTCAGAGAACGGAAGGCATGGGACCAAGACGGCTCGTCAAAACATGTCAAGATTAGAAGCCAGCCCATATGACTCAGGTGCCGGGGGCCCCTTAACCCAGGCAGGTGTACCTTCACAGATACAGAGTTGCACGCGCCCTGGAGAGGGGCCCACATGTACAAGCCCACAACCACATACACAGCTGTCCCCCCTCTCACAGACATGGAACGCGACAGATTGAGGTCCTCTCCCACTCTTACTCCTCGGGCGACCAGCATGGGGTGTGTATGTTGGGGAATGAGAAGCAGCACCGACCTAAAGTCGTGGATACTGGCCCCCTTTGCGGTAGCTGTTCACCCCTCTTTTGACCAAAAAGGGTGAAGCACAGGGTGGCCCAACCAGGCCCCTGGCAAACCTCATATCTCCAGAATTGCAACCCCTTGGGACTGTGTGGGACCCTGGGGCTCCTCTAGAGCAGATGCCCAAAGGCAGGAGCTGTCAGCAGGGTCCCCTCCCCAAGCCAAGAGCGTGAGTCTGTGTTCAGGATCCTGGATCCTAGCCTGGGACCCCCTGCCCCATTCTCTAAGTTCTCTTGACAGCCTGCCTTTATTTCCTCATTGCAAAAAGGCAGAGCTGGAGTCAGTGTCCTTTCCAGCTCTATGTCCTGGGGCTCCATGACCTTGAAATAGGCAGGCTTCCCCGTCTCCTGAGCTGTCCAATACGATAGCGTCATAGGGCGATTTATATTAAAATTAAAATTAAGTCGAATGTCACACTAGCCGTATTTCAAGTGCTGGGCAGTCACATGTAGCTAGCTAGTGGCCACTGTGCTGGACAGCACGGATATAGAACGTTTCCACTATCAGAAGTTCCACTGGGCAGAGCTGGATTCTGGACAGCAATAATGATAGGGGCCTTGTGGTTGAGATGTTCCTGAAGAGGCCAAAGGAACAACTTGGAGAAACAGAAGAAGGCCCCTTCTCTGTAGGCACTTTTCTAGATGGGGCTGCGAGAGCTCTCCCACCCGGGCTGAAGACAAGCGATCTTAGTTCCCATTCGTACACCCATCCTCCACATGCATCACCCAATGTCACCTCTCCACCTAATACATGCGTTGGGCGGGGGGTGGGGGGTAGGTTAGGATTTGTCTGGGGAGCTCCCTGCAGAGAAGGGAGAAGGGCCTCTGAGATGAAGCGGGGGACTCCTTTTCCAGCGGGGACCTGGGGCACAGGTGGGCAAGTCCAAGCCGACCTCTTGGTGGCAGCCAGATCTCCATCCACTAGGCTGGAACCGGGGCGCAGGAAGAGGCCTCCTCCGGCCCTGCCCCAGGCCGCCCAGGGAGAGCGGCCCACGCCGATGCAAGGGGAAGGAGGCTGGCCATCGCGCGGGCTCAGAGGCCGGGGGAGCGATCCCCGCGCTGCGGGCCCTGGGACCCGGGTGGGGGCGGGGAGGGGAGGGGAGGGGCGGGGCTATCCCATGCCCCGCCCCCGGCGTCACGGCCTCCCCGAGGGCGTCACCCCCGCCCCTCGCTCCAGGTAGCGGCGGCCGCGGAGCCCGCGGCGGCCCGCGGGCCGGGGCGGGGGCGGGGCGGGGGCGTTCCCGGGCCCCCGCCCCGCGGCCCGCCGCCCGTGATGATGTCACAATCGCGGCGGGCCACGGCGTTCCCGGGTCGGCTTCGGGCGCGGATCGGAGCGGGCAGCGGGCTCCTGAGTCATGGACTTCCCCTGGCCCCTCCTCTACCACTCCCACCGCCGCGCCGGGCCCCCCCGCAGGGGCTAGCGCTCGCGCGGCGGCTCCGAGGGGGTGGGGCTGCTGGGAATGGCTGTGCCCCCTTCGGCTCCTCTGCCGTGCTCGCCCTTTTACCTGCGGCGGCAGGCGCCGTGCCCGCAGTGCTCATGGGGCATGGAGGAGAAGGCGGCGGCCAGCGCGGGCTGCCGGGAGCCAACGGGCGCCCCGAGGGCCGCCGCCGTCCCTTGCTTCGGCATATCCGTGGACCAGGACGACATCCTCCCGGGCGCCCTGCGCCTCATCCAGGAGCTGCGGCCGCATTGGAAGCCCGAGCAAGTTCGGACCAAGGTAGCCGAGGGGGCGCGGAGCCGCGCCGGGGCCCTGTCGGGGCTGGAGCGGGGATGCGTGAACGTCTGTCCGTGCATCCTTCCGGGTGGCGGTCCCAGGGGTGCGCGGCCGCTGTGCAGGGCAGGGTTGCAATGGTGGTTTGGGTGTGTATTTTGCTCCATCTGTTCTGGTCCCCAAGCAGAGCCAGGCTCCCACCTTCCTCGGCCACCCACCCCCTCCCCTGGTCCCCACACCCCCCTCCTCCCGGGGGCTCGTGGGCAGCCCGGAGGTCCACCTGCCCACCGTCAGCATGCTGCGCGTGCGGGCCCCACCCCCTGTTGCCGCGCGCCAGTGCCCCTCGCCGCCCGAGGAGCGCGCGGCCGGCGCTGAAACCTGAGGAGGCAGGAACTTTTAAGGGAGCCCCCCCCACCTCCGCGCACACATACACACATACACACACACACACACCCCTGCCTTCTCTACCCCGTGGTGGGAGCAAAGTCTCCAGGCTCTGAGCGGGTCCCAAGAGCCACCGTGTGGAATTCCGGCTTAGCCCAGGGCCCCTGCGCCGGATGGAAACCCTCCCCGTCGCCCCAGGCTCAGGCTCTGCACCCTCCCACACAGGGGGGCCTCCTCATCCCCAGCTGGGCACATTCTCCGGGACACAGATGTGGGCAGAGCCTCCCACTGAGGAGCCTTGGGCAGACCCCCCAGCTGATCTGCATCCTCTAAAGGGTCTTCTCCTGCTCACCCTCCCCCGACAGCCCCTCTGGGAGCTGCTTGTGGAGGAGGAAGTCCGGAGCTGGGCTAGTTCTGGAGTGTCAGGGGCTCCCTGCTGCTGGGCCTTCAGGGTGGGGAGAGGCCAGGTTCCCCCACCCCAGTGCAGAGGCTGACAGACACCTCTTGGGGGAAAGATGGGTGGGTAGCATTTTCGAAATAAAAGACGCGCTTCAGTTGTAAGACCCACAAGGCATTGAGCAGGTCTGAGGTTAATTTCAGCACTGAGGGAACATGCTATGTGCCAGTCCTTCCCCTCTCTGGGCCTCAGTTTCCCCACCTAGAATTAGTTCGGATGTCCTTTAATCCCCTACTGGCTCTGTCACACTGTGCCCTGTCAATTCCATGGTTCAGTCCTCCTTGTCACCGTACCCAGAAAGTCTAGTCTGTTTACCCCCACCCCAGCCCATGGCTTCTTGTCTTTTCTGGTTTGGAACTCAGAGGCCCTAAGGAGCTCTGACCCCTAAAACCCTCGGCTGAGTTCCAGCCTCTGTAAACTCCGCACTGCCGTGGCTGGATGGGGTGTGGGGTGCAGCAAAGAGTCCTGAGCCCGGCAGAGGATGAGAGACAGCTGGGTCAGGATGTACTTGTCCTGGGCAACTCCTGATCCTCCCTGGGCACAATCTGGTCCATAGAGATTTCTTTCAGGGATGGAGGGGTAAGAAGTGGGGAGGGGGCTTCTCCCACCAAGGAGTGTGGAAATTCCTCTACTGCCAAATCCCATCTGCTAGAAGCAGACCCAGGAGAGGTGAGGGTGCCTGGTCTGAGGTTTTCTTGTAGAACTCAGGCTCTCCCAAGCACTGAGGAGGGTAAAGCATTAGGAACAGTGCTGAGCTCCCGAAGGATGGTGGGGCAGGGTTCTGCATGGTTGTGCTGGGCATGCAAATGAACACCCCTTGCTGGAGGTGGGGAGCCATGGGCATGGGCCAGAACAGAGACCCTGCCCCACACGCCCTTGTGCTCCCCCTCCCCATGCCAGCGCTTCACTGATGGCATCACCAACAAGCTGGTGGCCTGCTACGTGGAGGAGGACATGCGGGACTGCGTGCTGGTCCGGGTGTACGGGGAGCGCACTGAGCTGCTGGTGGACCGGGAGAATGAGGTCAGGAACTTCCAGCTGCTGCGAGCACATGGCTGCGCCCCCAAACTCTACTGCACCTTCCAGAATGGGCTGTGCTATGAGTACATGAGGGGCATGGCCCTGGGACCCGAGCACATCCGGGAGCCCCGGCTCTTCAGGTGAGAAGGTGGCCCGGTTTACCATTCATTTCCACGATTCCTCAAGCCTTGGTCAACTTCCTTGGCATAGAGTGGAGTCCATGAATGAGTCATAAGGTCTGTGAACTTCCTGAAATTGCATGAAAATGTGTGTTTGTGTGTGCGCACGCGTTGCTCTGCAGAGAGGGGCCATCGGTCTGTATGGATTTTCAGTGGCATCCGCTGGAAAGGTGACCTGCTTCTTAGGCAAGTGAGAATTTGGTGAACCTGGGACCAAAGGATCTACTTCCCTAAATGCAGCAGGGCTCTGCTTCCTGGCTTCATGTCTCCGCCCTTTGCCCACCCCACGTCTGACCTGGAAACATCTTGAAGCCTTGGAAATGAAATCTGAGCCAAATCCCCAGAGCGCCCAGGATTTCCTGCCCCTCCCCTCCTGCCAGGAGCTCAGGCATGCTAGGAGAATGGGCCCTATCCAGGGGGAGCCTGGGTTAGCAGCCCAGAAAGACACCAGCCCTCCCCCAGTCTGAGCTCCGTCCAGGTTCCCCGACAAAGTGGGAGCCCAGGTTTGGGAAGCTGCCAAGGCTTCCTTCCTGAGGTTCACCAGAACCCATGATCCCTTGGGAGCCCCTCCCAGTGCCTGGATGTGTAGCGCCCAGGAAGCGGACTTAACCTTTAAGCACCGTGGTTGCCTCTGTGAGGTCTGGAAGGGGGAGAACTAAAGAGGAGCCCTTAGTGCCTTTTCTCTCCTCTAACCGTTGTGGGCACGGAGGTCAGGCCCTCCCTCCCATGCTGCCGCTGCCTGCGGAGCCCTCTGGCCAAGCGAGGTCCCCAGGCCGACCGAGGCTGACTTCTGATCCTGGAAAGCAGCACAGGGGGCAGCCTGGGATCCTCCGGTTCAGTCCCATCCCCGCGAAGGAGAAGGCACTTTCCAGATACCCAGGTGAAACAGTAAAAGGTCATCTAGGGAGCAGACCAAGAAGTTTTTGCTTCCTCACCTGTTACCTAGTTAACCCCAAGTAAGTGCACCTGGCCCTATTTGTGGAGACAGATGGGCCCCCCAGGGACTTAGAAGGGACTCTGAGATGCCTTCCCTCTAGTGCTCCCTCTGGGGCTGGTCAGGCTCTGGGGTATTTGTGTTGTATGTCTAGTTGTATGTCGTATCTGTGTGTGTGTGTGTGTGTCTTTGTCTGGAGTTAGGGGGACGTGCAAACCTGTCCAGTGGTCTTCTCCGGCTCCTGCTGAGTGTCCTGCCTGGAAGCAGGCGGTCAGAGCAGGGTGGGGGCCCGGGGAACCGTGGGCTGGCTTCTCCCACGCCACACTGCTGGCACTCCTTCAGTCTTGTGTAAATAAGCTCAAATACTGGCACGTTGTCCCTGGGTCACTCCCAGTGTCCGGCCACCTCTGGGAAGTGGTACCGTTCCTCGTGCTCTCGTGGAAACAATTACCATCAGGAAGATTGAAGATGGATGTGGGTTCGATAACAACTTTACACTTGGGGGAGAGCCAGAAACTGGGATAGGTGTAGGAGGTAGGCTCTTCCCTGATGATTTTTCCAAGGATAGCCCGTTATCTTTCTCAGGGGAAGGTGGATCTCTGAGGGAAAGGCGAGGAGGAGGCCTTGGGGAGCCACGGCCTCTTGTTCCCCTGAACCCCACCTCCCAACCTCTGTGAGGCTTTGCAGCACAAAAATGCTGAGTGTTGAGGTGACTTCCATTGCTTTTTCAGACAACAGCCCTATTGATATTCAAGGAAACGCTCTGTTCATGCTCTAGTCGGAATCTTCCTTCGGGAAGGAAAGGCCTGGGTCTCAGGTCTCTTTCCCTGCCTCGCCTAAAACCCTGGCGGGCTCCCTCCTAACCCCGGGGCCTCTGGCCTCTGAAAGCACAGCCTTCTGTGCTCACCCTCTTGTGGCTGCCACGCCCCCTGCCCCCTCCGCCCTTCGGGAGGTGGGAGCCTGGGGGGCTTCTGGAGGAGACCTTAGCCTGCCCTGCTATCCTGTTAGGTGACAGCCTGCCCCTTCCCAGGACCTGGCAAGGGGAGGGGTGTCCCTGGAACAGCTCAGTAACAAGGTTTCAAACAGCCAATGCCTTTGTTGTCTTTCCCAGTGATTATTATTCGAGCAACAGGCAGAGGCGAAGGAAGCTTGAATGTTGGAGGCTTGGCAGCCGGGTTGGGGGTGGGGCTCCAGAAGGGAGAGCTGGCAGAGGACTGGGGGAGCCCAGCTGGGACGCAGGGCCTCAGACGCTGGGGTCCTTATCAAGGCCCTCCCTCTCTGACCGGTCAGCCCTCCATCCGCCCCCGCCCTCTCCCAGCCCCCTTCCCCACCGCCCCCTCCTTCTCTCCCGGGACCTTGGATAATGTCCACAGGAGAACTTGAAAATAGAACGCTGGTTTGTTTTGCGTCCTTGGCACCCAGCCGCCAGCATCAACTCCCTGCTGCTGAGGAAAGGGCTGCCCTGGGCCGGCCTGCTTCCCTCCCTACCTTGGCCAGGCTGATAAGAGGCGGGCATTTCTTCCCAGCCAGGCATCACCACCCCCCTCATTCCCTTAGTGCCCTGCATTCACCTCCCCCTGCGGGCATGGATCAGATGGGTCCACTGCCCCCATCCCCAGGTGATCCTTCTGTCCTCACGGGTTGCTGTGGGTACATGACCTTGGGGTGGGGCAGGCTCACTGACCCGTGGCCAGCGGCCCGCAGCTTTGCCTTCCTGCTCCCTGAAGCAGCCTCAGCTATGGTTCTGGAAAAGTCGCTGCTGGGCTAAAGGCCTGACATCATTTTCAGACCCTCCTTCCGTAGGAGCAAGAGTCCCTCAAAGAGCTGTCCCACACTCAGCCCTCTGGCTGGCCCCAGTCGTCACCCTGTTCGAGCCCCTTCTGGTCAGGAGGGGCTGAGCTGGGATGGGCCTGCCCCACGCTGATCCTCTCCCCTTCCTGTTTTCTGTGTAGGCTAATCGCCCTAGAAATGGCAAAGATTCACACCATCCACGCCAACGGCAGCCTGCCCAAGCCCACCCTCTGGCACAAGATGCACAATTATTTCACCCTTGTGAAGAACGAGATCAACCCCAGGTACAAAGATCTGGGAGGGTTCAAGGCTGCCCCTGTCTCTGCTGCCTTTATGGGCTCCATCCCACCCCCACCCCCTGGAGGCTGAGGGGCTTAGGTCCTGACTGCTGAGTCTCTGTCTCCAAGCAGAGCTGGGCTGATCGACTGAATCTCAGGAACCTGGATCCACAGCTTTACGCCTGTGTGCTTGTGTCTCACTGAGTCTCTGGTTGTGGTAGAGATGAGGGTTGGGGACTATGCCTCCCCTTTTACTTAAAGGAGACTGAAGCTCAGAGACTAGGCTTGACCCAGGATGTGGGGCTCATGGGGTGGGGGTGGGGGGGCAGGGATCTGTTTCCTAGCCCAGGGCCCTTTCTACCTAAGCTGCTTTCTGAGCAACCAGAAGGGAGAGCCTGGCCTCTGAGAATGGAGTGAGACCAAGTTCACAGTCAGTCAAAACTCAGCTTGTCAGTTGACAAGCCCTTGGGACATCAAGACTCTTACTACTTGCCTGGACGCCTCTCGTCCCCACATGCCCCTGGGGACCCTGCTTCTCACTTTGTTCACACTGACAGCTTACCATTTCCTCACTGCCCTTTCCAAGGATCAGTACTCCACCCATCCCGACAGTGCCTTTCCCCAGGGAAGACTGGGCTCCCAGACAGCGGCCTCTCCAGCCAGCAACCTGAAAGTCCTTCTAGCCTTCGGCTGCCTGGCTGTCCCCAGCACAGCCTTGAGTGCTGTTTCCCCTGCAGGGAAAGGCAGTAGTGAGTCTCTGATCCCTCCATGTACCCTACTGGGTTGAACATCTCCCTTGTTCCAAAGGTTCATGGGAGTAGGGTATCTCCTTCTCTCCTCCAAGATGACAAGACAATAATTATCTCTATCCCAATCATGTGTCTGTCTGTCTCTCTCTCTCCCTCTCTCTCTCTCTCTCTCTCACACACACACACACACACACACACACACACACACACGTGACTTTATCTGGATCCTCCCACTTAATGATTATCAAGCCGTGCTTTCGGACTATTTGTCCGGGATGGCCCACATTCAGACCTTCGGTGCCAAATGTTATCTCTGGGACAAGGACTGCCTATCCCCTAGGGCTAAAACAGCACATGGAGAGCAGGACCCTGGGGTGTCTGAGTCAACAGGGCCCTCCGATCGTGCAGCCCACCACTTTCATTTAGTAGATGGATGAACTGAGGTCCAGAGAGGGGATGGGACTTGCCCAAGGTCAGTGGCAGCTCAAGGCCTAGAGTCCAGTCCTTTGTACTATTACCATGTAACCTTCAGGGGTGACCTTGTTGGGAGTGGAGTGGTCCTTGCAGAACTGACCACCTTTGCTCTTGTCATACCTTTGACCTTGGCAAATTGAGCTGTTTAACTTCTCAGAGCCTCTTTAAGGGACAGTGCGTGTCCTAAATGACCTAAGCTGCCCCAAGTGGGGCAGTGATGAGCAGTCACCGGGACAAGATGCAACTCATGAGCTCTAGTCACAGTCTAATACCCCTGATTTAGTCAATCCTGCCTTTCACAAACATCAACAGGGATTTAAAACAATGAAAAATCTAGACGTGACATTGGCCCTGCCCTCAAGGAGCTTAGGAACCATCTGGGTAAATAGGACTTGCCTTTGCACAGTGACAAAAGAAGGCAGGGTGTATAATGCATGTAGGTGGGAGAACCAGGGCTGGTCTTCCTGGCAGAGGCAGGAGGGGCAGAGCTGGGAAGTGAGGCCGCTCGGGCTGGCAGAGACGGTGTGAACTCACTTGGCTCATGGGTGGCAAGTGGATGAGGGTGGCTGGAATGGGCCTTCAGGAGAGATTGGAAAGGGCTGTGGGTGGTGGGGTGCAGAGGTGGGGTGGAACTAGACTGGGAGGACTCTTTGAAGCCAGGTTAGGGAGCCAACATTTTGTTTAGCAGACAGTGGGAAGTCACTGCAGGGGTCTCTGAGCCAGGCAGGGACCATGACTGTGGTTTAGGACGAAGGCTCTCTGGTGTTGTAAGGGACAGTCGGGCGGGATTTGGGGAAGTGGGGATAGGGATTGGAGGTAGGGCGACCCACTCAGGAAGAATGAGCAAGATCCATGGGCAGCCTCATGGTGATGGGGGGGTGGTGGAGAGTGGCAGGTGTGTCAGGGACCCTGTGGGAATAGATTTGGTGGCCTTGGTGTTTGGTTGGGCATAGAGGGTGGGGGTGGTCCCTGCTTCGGGGGACCAGGAGGAGGTGCAGATGGTTGTGTGGTATCAGGGCAAAGGTGATGATCCAGGAAGCTGGGACACTTAGTCTGCTGTGGGAGAAGGTACTTCTGTCCGCCCATATCCGGAGAGCTGTGGGGACCTTTGGCAGGCAGCAGTGTTTTTTTTCTTTTTCTTTTTTTTTTTTTTTAAGATTTTATTTATCTATTTGAGAGAGAAAGAGCACGAGTGGGGAGGAGGGTCAGGAGAGGTAGAAGCAGATTCCCCACTGAGCAGGGAGCTCAACATGGGGCTCCATCCCAGGACCCTGGGATCACAACCCTGGGATAACTGAGCCCCAAGCAGCAGTGTTTTCATCAGGAACCCTCAGGCTTCCCTGGGATGGGGTGGGGGGGCCCTGCACCCTCATCCTGCTGCCTCTGAGGGACCAGGGAGTAGGAGCAGCAGGCTGCCTGGGGTGTGACCGTTTCTGTGACGCGGTGGCGGTTACTATTTTGCCAACCCCACAGCCTTGAGAAAGTCTAGTGGTGTCAGGGCTAAGGGTAGCAAAGCTGGCAGGCTTTCAAGTGGCCCGCGGCGGGAAGCGGGGCAGCAGAGGGAGGCTGCCCAGGGAGATAGAAGGCCTGGATGGCTCCTCCAGTAACCATCTGCATGGCCTTGGGTTGGGTAAGGTGGGGGTCAGGCGGCGGTCAGGGCCTGGGCAGCACGTATCTTAGATGTCAAAGACATGTTTTTCAGGCTGAGACCTGGGCAAACCAAAGGAAGCCTCCTAATTCTTATCTTTAGATGGTCTTGGAGCAAGAAAAAAAAAATCTTGAAGGGTATCTTCTTAAGGAGAGCCAATACTGAAATGCGTTTATGTAGACCGGGCGACCCAGATAAACTCTGGTAAGGATAAAGGAAGGCCTCCCCTTATCATCCCCGGCAGGCTACCCCCCAGCTCAGAGCGGCCTGTGCAGAGCCTCTGAGGGGCACTGGGACCCTTGCAGTTAGGAGGTCTGGCTTGATTCTGCATCCCTGAACAGGCTGAGGTCTGCTTCCCTTAGGTGAGGGGGAAGAGGGTTCAGCTGTGCAAGAAACATCTGGAAGCTGGAAGGCCTCTGCTCTTCCTTGAGCCTCCATTTCCTTGACAACTTGGACGAGAGGCCTCAGATCCTCTTCAGCTTTGACGGTCTCAAAGCCTGGGAAGGAGCCTGCCGCTCAGCCCTTCCCGGGGGGACAGGAGGACGCCTTAGTCACTGAATGCTCTTTGCCACATTTTGGCCTCCGGGCCACGTGACGGGGGGACGGGGCATCCTTTGGGAGGATGGGGAGGACGGACGGATCTCACGCTCATCCTCCCGCACATACTCGGGCTGTCCCGGATAAGAAAGCAAACAGGAGCTACATGGAGACAGAACAGGAGATAAAACCCCAGCCTCCTCCCCTCCACCCATTGGTGGTTCTGGATTTTAAGGGCTGTGCTAACTGTTTGGCTTTTCAGTGTACACAGACCTGTGTGCTTCCTGGGGACCAAAGTTCAGAGCGTCCCAGCACAGTGTGCCCTCAACAGCCTCTCCATGGCCTCTGCTCCCGGCACCGAGGGACCCATTCATTCATTCATTCATTCCTCGACACAGGTTTCTTTCAGCAGTGAGACCTTAGGTACCACGAGAAGGGGTAGGGCAGAAAGAGGGGTGGCCTCTGTCATCTGTATTCCTGCATACAAGTTGTGCATGCATGCGTGGTCTGGGACACGGACACACATGCTCCTAGTTCAGAATGCAGGGGACAAGTCACTGGGGAGCTACAGAGCAAGTGCTCGACTGAAAGCCCTTAATATTCCTTTGGTCTTGGAGGAGTGAGCCCAAGAAGCAGTTTGTTTGCTTCCTTCAGTGGGCCCAAGTGGCCTCTCTGTGAGATGAGAAGTTAGCCTTTATGAGCTCTCTGGGCCTTTCCACCTGCGACACCCAGCTGCTGGAGGAGGAGAGGGACGGACCAGGAGTGTCTATGCTCCAGCCCCTCCGCAGGGCACTGTGAGGCCTCCCCAGTCTTGTTTTAGAGAGCAGACCTCTGCCCTCGTACTCGTCTGGAACAACTGAGTGCAGACACGCGTTGTCCCCTCCCGTCCTTCCTGTGCCTCCTTCCTTACCTTCCCCGCCCTCTCACGAAGTAGCAGGGACACTGTTGGATCAGGGACATGTGTGCTTTGCAAAAGGCTCTTACACCCGTGTTTTAATAAGCTGCTTAGGGTAACTGCAGGAAGTCAGGAGATCAGGACGTCTTAGTGCCAGACGACAAAGGTGAGGGTCTGAAGGGTGGCCCATTTGGCCAGGGGTCCCCAGCAGGAACAGGTAGCGACGGGGCCAGCACGCAGGGCTCCGGAGGCCCAGCGCCTGTCTTGCTGTCAGCCCTCCCCCTCACCGGCCTCCTTTCTTGCCGCCGCCCAGCCTTTCCGTAGATGTCCCCAAGGTGGAGGTATTGGAGCAGGAGCTGTCCTGGCTGAAGGAACACCTGTCGCAGCTGGACTCCCCGGTGGTGTTCTGTCACAACGACCTGCTTTGCAAGAACATCATCTACGACAGCACCCAAGGTACGCCTTCCCCGGCTCTGGCTGGGCCGCAGCTGGGCGACACCCTGGTGATCCGCGGCCTTCCGGCTGCCGTTGCTCAGACCGGCCCCGGGATGAGCAAAAGGCGACCTTCCGGTTTAGGTCTCACATTAACTTAAGAAAAGGGAGAAGGAAATACATTTCCACTTGGAAAAAATCTATGCCGTGGTCTGTGGAGGTCCTCCGTGTGAGGCCACCTGAGCCATCCCCCCTGCTGCAATACTCTGGGCTTTTGAGGACGTCTGGGGTGGCCCGGGCCCTCCTAGGGACAGAACCCTTCTGTGTGCCCCATGAGAGCTCCACCCCCGGGGGGCCCTGACCTTTACCTCTGCTCCTCGGCCACGAGGAGGACAGATGTCTTGAGTAGCCACCTGTGTGTGGACAGCTGGGGGGCAGGGGGACAAATGAACAGCCTCGAGGGCACCCCCAGGGAGGGCAGGTTGGGCTGGGTTGCCGCCATCCGGGGCATTCTGGTCTGTGGGGACTTGACCGGGCCCCGTTTCTCTCTCCCGGGACCCACCCTCATGGCCGCTGTCTTTCCTCACAGGCCACGTACGGTTCATTGACTATGAGTACGCCGGCTACAACTACCAAGCTTTTGACATTGGCAACCATTTCAACGAGTTTGCAGGTGAGAAGAGTATTGTTGTTTGTCTCGGTCCAAGACACTTTCCTCGTGATGGAGGGCCAGGTCCGGGGTGAGGATGGGGGCGGGGGTCTGCCCTCACTGCAGGGAGGCGTGACAGCCCGTCCTCCAAAATCTCACAGCTCAGGGAAGGGAGGCACAGCCTGCCTTGGGGGGTGGGCTCCAAGGCTCATGGTGAGGCCGGACCCGCACACAGAGCAGACCCCCGCCAGCCCATCGGGCAGTTGGGTACCCACCAGGACAAAGTCCCCTCCTTAGGATCCCGGGCTTGGCATGCGAGTTAGAAAAGACCCCTGGGGGCCTGGCTGGCTCAGTCGGTGGAACATGTGGCTCTTGATCTTGGGGTTATGAGTTCAAGCCCCACATCGGGTGATTACTTTAGAAAATTAAAAAAATTTAAGAAAAAGCCCCCTTCCTCTACCCCTGGTAGACAGGCTGGCATGGGCCAGGCACAGCCTCTGCCTGTCCCTTTGCTCAGGCTGCCTTCTGCCCAGCACTGCCTGCACGATCGTAAGGGTCCTGCCTGCAGAGGAGCAGGACAAGCTGGTGTCCCGAGGAGAATCGAGGTGGAACTTGCACACACTCTGCAACTTGACTGTCCACGTTCAAACCCTGGTTTGAGGCTTACTAGCTGTGTGACCCTGGGGCTGGTTACTTACCTTCTCTGGGCCTCTGCAAAGTGGAGGTATTAACCGTACCTCCTACTTCTCATCAGCGTGAGCTCCACACACAAGAGGAGCTCATGCTAAGCCTCCTACTGGTGTTCGCTGGCAGGGAAGCTTTCTGGTAGCTAAGGAGGCCGGCACCGGAACGGACGCAGCTGGATGAGGGGTGTCTGGTTGTGCTGGCCAGTTGAGGGAAGGCCCAGGCTGTACAATAGCAGCATTTGTGTGAAAGAAGCCGGGCAGGTTTTTCCGGCTTGAGAGCTTCATTGTTAAAGGATCTGATGGGGCCAGAGAGGCGACTCGGGGATGGAGTTGGACACTGGGGCTGGAGCGACATCGGGTAGTGTGGGGTGCTTAGGGGAATGGGGCCAGCCCCTGGGGCGCAGGACAGGTGAGGCACACCCAGGCCAGCTGTCAAGCCACCACATACCTCCTCCAGCCTCGGCCACTCCCCAGCCTAAGCCTGGCCAATTGTGTCCCATTGAGAAGCCCAGGTGACCAGGTCTGTCAAGCACTCATTGTACCTGAGTGTGTGACTTCCCAGGATGGCCACCAGCAGCATCTAAGAACCCAAGGGACAGTGGGGCCTCAGCTGGGCAGGGCCCTGGGCCTGTGGGCGCTCAGCTGCCAGACCTGCTAGCCTTTCCAGAAGGGATCATTCTGAAGCATCTTAAGCCTTCCTGCCCCACATGGAGCAAGATCCAGCTGGAATTTCTCCCAAGGGGCAGATTGCATTGTGCTCTCAGGTTGTGAAGGAAGGAGGAAGGCAGGGAAGGAGACTGGGAGCTGGGGAGGGAGCACTCCTGGGTTCTTGGGAGCAGGGAGACCCAGCCCTGGGAGGCAGGAGGTGAGCGTTCCATCCCTGACCTCCCCTCTCCATGGCTGCCTGGGAGCAGCTTCTGCTCTCTGGGGGTTTCTACACCTGCACCAGAAGATTCTTTCTCAGCCATCCTCTTGGGACCCCAGGAGATGGAGTGTGTTTCTCCAGGAGTCAGGGGAGCTTGGGAAGGACAGGGAGGAAAAGAGAGGAAGAAACCATGGGCAGGGCAGCCCTGCTCCTGTCTTAAGTGAACTGCAACTCTCCGTCCCAGCTTGAAGGCCAGCCTCTGCCACTGGGCCAGGGATGTGGCTGGGGTGCGTTAGGTGGGCTGGCAGCTCAAGGATTCAAGGGCAGGACCGGAAGGAATGGAAGCCACCCGGTCCGGGGTTCCAAGCCTGGCTGCATTTCTGAGTTATCTGGAGTTTTGGACACGGGGCTAGAGGTGCCTGGGAACTTCTTACCAAGCTCCCTGGGTGATGTTTTGAAGGAGCCAGCTCAACACTGGTCCAGGAGGCAGTAAGAGACCCACAATTCTAGATGGTAGACTCTGGCCCGTGGGCGGGAAGGCCTTGTGCGGGGCTCACTGGTCTGCATCCCACCAAAGAGGCGGCCCCGGGTGGGGTGCTGTGGCCGAGCACCTCCTGTGGGCCGTAGTTGCTCTGAAAGGCACAGGGGTACAGCGATGCTGTCTTAGGGGTCCCTGTCACACCCAAGATCGTGCCTCGCCCTACAACCAGTCTGCCTCGGCTTTCCTCCATCCCACGGAAAGCAGCACCCCCAGCTCCCCACACTGGGTAAGTTCAGTGGTTGACAGGCTGTATTCCTAGGCACAGCCCCACAGGACATACACAAAGGTTGAGGGGAGCAGGGGATACAGGTGAGCTGGAGTCGTCCCCCGCGCCCCAGGTGGGCCCACCTCTCAGCCACTGCCGTGTGGCCGCTTCCCCCTCAGGTGTGAACGAGGTGGATTACTGCCGCTACCCTGGCCGGGAGACCCAGCTGCAGTGGCTGCACTACTACCTACAGGCACAGAAGGGCATGGCCGTGACCCCCAGGGAGGTGGAGAGGCTCTATGTGCAAGTCAACAAGTTCGCCTTGGTAAGTGCCTTCACAGGGGTGGTGGTAGGGGGGCAGCAGCAGGGGAGGAAGGACCCACCCCCAGCTCCTCCAACAGCCCAGGGCAAAGGAAGCAGAGGTCAGGGTGAGAGGTGAGGTCCTAAGACCCCAGCCCCTGCTCCTGAACCTCCACCCTGGAAGTGAGGTCTGGGAAGAGCCCTCTTGGGCATCCCCAGAATACGGAGGTGCCCTCTTCCCTGCATTTCCCTACCCAAGTCTCTCCTTCCTAGGGAAAGACTTTCAAAAAAGAGCCCAGCTTCCTGTTTTAGCAGTTCTCTCCTTTGGAGAAGTAATTCTCTCTAGTGTCTAACTTTAGCCTCTCATGCTGCCGTTAAATGCATCTCATTTTTTTTTTTTTTTTTAAGTCTTTGGAGGAGATAAAGAATGTCAGTTCCAATCCTCCTTGTTAACGACCGCCACTGACTCAACTGCATATAAGTCTCTCCCATCACGCTCTTCCTGCTCAAATTACCGAGCTGTCAGTTCTCGATTAGGAGTGCCATTCATCCAGGGTACCTGGTTCATGGCCGGTTTCTTCCGGTGTGTGCCCAGGGGATTGCTAACTAGTCTTATTAACGCCAGCCTTGCAGAAGCAAGACAACAGGTCCACTGCCCTGAATTTCACAATACAGCGAGGAGCTTACGTAGAATCTTTACTTACCTGTCATTTTGGATTACCTCTCCTGTTTTCCTCATTGGCACAAAACTGATTTCCCATCAGGTTCTGCTTCTTAACTGTTCCACTTAGGCCTGCCTCTTGCTAAATGTTTTCATGTCATCACTGACACTTTGCTAATTGGTCTATATGCCCCTTGAAGTCCTAAAAAGTGGAGGTAGGTGCTGTGCAGCCAAACCCCGGCTGAGCAGGATGTGGGGTGGGGTGGGGGCCCTGGCTCGGGCTAGTCATGATGTCACCACTGTTTGCTCAGGGACAGCTGGGAGCAGGCTCTGGCTTCTTGAGCCTGGGGTGGTCTTATCCTAAGGGCTCCTCTGGTCAAGGAGGGAGCAGTTGACGGCTTAGAGCCCAGACTCAGGGCCTCGTGCTGTCACACCTACACTTGTTTCCCAGCCCAGCCCACCTACAGACAGAAGAGGTAAACGGGCTGGAGGACGTCAGTTAAGGGGGTCCTCCTGATGGGACTGGGCCTGTGCTCTGGGGCAGGGGTTCATCTCATCCTGGTGCCTTGGCCTTGAAGGCCCCAGGAGACTCCCCTGGGCAGGGGAGATGCCAGGAATGGAGCTATGCTTAGCATTAGAAGCACCATCCCGCGGACCCCTACCTGGCAGGTAGAGCTCTGCCTTTTTCTCAAGGGAGTAAAGCCCCCAAACGCTGACCAGCGACTTGACCAGCGACTGGCTCCATGAGGTTCCTGACAGGCAGGAGTGGTTGCCTTGCTGACTTACTCTGGTCCCTTTCCAGGCATCTCACTTCTTCTGGGCACTCTGGGCCCTCATCCAGAACCAGTTCTCCACCATCGACTTTGACTTCCTCAGGTGAGTGCAGAGGGCGAGTTGGGGCGGTGGGGAGTGGGGGAAAGGAGTAGCTCAAGCCAAGGGTGTAGGCGCAAAGGACAGTCCAGAGACAATGGTATCCAAAGTCCCTTCTTCTGCTCTGCTAACTTGTCCCCAATCCAGCCACCCCATATCCAATGGGGTCACCACTCTAGGGGAAACACCTGAGCCCAGAGCACCTCGCTAAAAGTAGTCAGAAGTTCTCGAACCTTCCCATCATGCCTCAGCAGATTCGCTTTCCCTCCTACATCTTACGACCTAGTTCACTGCCCCCCGTTCTGCAGCCACTGTTCTTAGCCACAGAGCCTGGTGGTTAAAGGAAGTGTTCATTTTATGGCAGAGGGGACAGAGTTCTTCCGGTGCGCAGAAGTGACTCTCTGAGGCCACTCGGGCGGTTTAGCGCTTACTGCGTGGGGTATCAGGCTCAGCTCCTCCCAGTGAGGTACTAGGGCTGACCCGGGGTCCGTACTGGAGTACTGTCTCCTGGCTCCAACGTCTCAGGTACACGTGGCCTCAAGGACCAGGAGTCGTGTGGTCTAGCCTTTCTCCATTCTGGTCTCGTCTTGTTGCCCTGTCTGCCCCCAACCCACCCACCCTCAGCTGGGAAGGAGACACTACTCCGACTTCACAATGTTCACAGTGACTGGAGAAAAGGCCAAAGACACATTTGAGGTCTCCCCCTCACACTTAGGATGGCTGTTTTGTATCAAAGAAACAGAAAACCAGCATTGGGAAGGATGCAGAAAATCGGAACCCTTGGCCGCTGCTGGCGGGAACATAAAAGGGCACAGCTGCTGGGGAAAACAATACCGAGCTCCCTCAAAAATTTAAAAATAGAATTCCTGGGCCACCCAGCATTCTCACCGCTGCGTGCGCAGCCAGAGTCAAAAGCAGGGGGTCAGAGATGTGCAAACCCGTGTCCATAGCCTTATTCACAAGAGCCCAGAGGCGGGAGCAACCCCATGTCCATGACGGCTGACTGGGGACACAAAGGTGGGCTACACACACGAGGGAGTGTTCCTCAACCTTTTAAAGAGAGAAAACCAAGTCACACGCTAGAACGTAGGACCTCTGAGGACCTGCTAAGCGAACGCCAGTCACAAACAGACCATCACTGTAGGATTCCACTTACGTAACTGAGTTAGTCAAGTTCACAGAACCAGAGCAGGAGGGCACCTGGTTGGCTCAGTCAGTACAGCATGTGACTCTTGACCTCGGGGTCAGGAGTTTGAGCCACACATGTGGTGTGGTTACTTAATTAAAAAAAACAAAACTAGAGTGGTTTTTGCCAAGCGCTAGGTGGGAGGGGGGTATAAGTTGCTGTTTAATGGGTACAGAGTTTCAGTTTTGCCAACTGAAAAAGTCCTGGAGGGCTGTTTATAAAGATGTAAGTGTACTTTACACTGCTGAACTGGGAAAAAAAAAAAAGCATTTAGGGAAGGGCTGCTCCAGTCTAATCTAAGAAAAATAAAATAGTTGGAAGTTAAGAAAAAAAAAACACATTCTCCTGCCTGGGGTGGAGCTGGTGAGACTTGCTCAGGGTGTGAGTCCCCCACCCCGGGGCGGGCCCACCTGGCCTTCCTTCTCAGCCGGGCTCCCCTGCTCTCCCTCCCGCAGGTACGCAGTGATCCGGTTCCATCAGTACTTCAAGGTGAAGCCTCAAGTGTCAGCCTTGGAGATGCCAAAGTGACCAGCTTCCCCATCTCTCCCTTACCCACCTGCCAGGCCAGACCCGTTCTCCGGGGCTCGGTCCTGCTCTGGGGTCCGCCCCCTTGGACAAGGTGGGAGAGGGGACAGGTGGGTGTCCAGGGAGAAGGCCCCACCCCTGCTGCCAGCCCCCGCCCCCGCCCCATGGAGGTTGCTGGAGACCACGTTCTTTTGTTTGGAGGGGCTGATAGGACCCAGCTCTGGGGGTCCCCTTCACCATGCCAGATTTGGGGGTGGGAGTGCCTGCAGTCAGCCAGGGCCTGGACCACAGCCACCCCTGGGAAGCCCGGTATTCCTGGCCTCAGGCCACGCTGGAATCGGGGCTGCCTTAGATGTGTCTTCGACCTTCCTGGCTTGGGGACAGGGGGAGGTGGGAGGGCTCCTTTCTACCTCCAGTGCCCTGAGCCTCCAGCCCACCTCCCCCTGCGCGCCCCACGTGGGAGGTGCTGACGAGCCCAACCAGCATCATGCCGACTCTGACAGATGGATGCACATGTCTGGGGCGAATGATCTAGAACTAGGGTTAACGGCTCCCCAAAGCCACCCCATCCGAGATCCCCTCCCTTTCTCCAAGCCAGATCCAATCAAACCACCCTTTCCCAAACCTCTGCCCCAGGACCTGTGTTCCCCTCCCCTCCCCTTTTTGCTCTGTGCTTGTGTTCTGTCCCTCTGCCACCTGCTGGGAGGGAAGGCAAGGGAGTGGTGCCCTCCTGGGCCTCCAGAGCCCAGCTCGGCTTTGTGCTTGGCCAGAGCAGGGTGGCCACCACCGTGGCCAGCAGCGTCCCACCTTGATCCCTTCCCTGCCCTCCAGGCCCTCGTTTCCAAGGATTTGTCTCTCCCTCTTCACCTTTTGTCCTGACCCAAAGACTTCCCACTAGGAAATGAGTAGTGGGAGTCAAGGGGGTGGGGCTAGGGACTTCGGGGTTCGCCGTGCGGCCAAGAGCCTGGGTAGGATGGGTGGGTCATGAAGGTGCTGAGCAGCGGGTCCTGGTCCCCGACTCTCTCGACGGCCTCCACCTCCTCTCGGCCTCCTCCACCTCTCTGCCCTCACAGCCTCCAGGCTCTGGCCTAGGAAAGTGATTCATTTGTAAATTATCATGGTTTTCTGCATTAAAATGGCCATTTCTGGACCACTCTGTGTCTGAGTGCCGATGGTGAGGATTTGACTTTGACATAGAGGGTATAATGGACTAGTTCTCCTACAGTGGGTGGTAGGGGTGGCTGCACCCGCTTCTCCAGGGTTCCCTGGGGCTGCACCCTTCCTCCCCCACCCTCCGAGCACCTGGCTCATGAGGCCTGTGCTCCTGGTCCGGGATAGGCCTGGGCACAGCTAGTGCTTTCACCACTCTTCTGCCTCTGACCGTCCTGCTAGAATAAGGGGAGTCCAGGACACTGCTACTGGGGAAGGGAGCCCAACTGCGGTTCCGCCAGGTGGTAACCAGGCAAGAGACCCTGGGGGAGGGTACTCAGGATTTCTTCCTGCCCCCAGTCTAGCTCCTAGCTGTTGAGGGGGAGGGGGTGCTGCTCTGCTGGAAAGCAGGCAAGGATGATTTCTGGAACCAATCTGTTACTTTCTCAGAAGGCCAGAGGGAAGGGAGACCAGAAGCTGAAAGGAGAGCCAGGGTACCCCTGTCGGCAGCCTGGGCTGCTACCGCTGTGCTGCCTCCAGGGCCCGTCAGAAGGTACCCAGTACCCTGAAGAGCAGGGAGAGCAGTGGCCGCCTGCCAGGTAGAATCTGGCTGTTTGGCTTTTGCTGGCAAAAGTACCGGATGCCATGGCAACCGCTGGAGCAGAGCTAGACCCAGCAGCTGGGGCCTTCAAGGTCACGGTGATCCAGTGTGGCCGGGGGGTGGGGGGGGGGGGCGGGGGAGCTGTACCAAGGCCAGGGAGGGGCAGGGGGGGGGGGGGGGGGGGGGGGGGGCCGGGGTAGCTGTACCAAGCCCAGGAAGGGTATGGGAGAGGACATGGAGGGGGTGGGCCTGGCCTAGTGATGGTGCCAGGGCTGGGCAGGCAGGGCCCCTCAAGGGTACCATGGGGTCAGGTGCTCGTGGGCAGGGCCTTCTCGTGGACTAAAGGTCAGTGCCCACCCTCCTTGTTCCTCTCAGATCCACCTCTGGAGCTGAGGGCAGAAATAACCACTGCGAAGGCAGCTTCGTTTCCAGCCTCCTGGGGCCTTGATGTCACAGCGTTGGAGACGGTGTTGCAGTGGTGAGCAGGGAATGGCTGGGACAGGGCCCCCCAGGTACCATCCTGTGCCCCTACGGCCCCCCGCCACCACCTGCACCAAAGGAGCGAACCTGCAGGCACCACCCCACTGCCTTTGAGAAAACATCCTCATTCCTCCAGAGCTCCAGGGGGAGGGGAAAAGTGGGGGCAGGGTGGGGGAGGGGTAGTTTAGGACACCCCTCCCCCTCAAAGCCTGGAGTCCTAGCTCTCCTTTCACTGCCACCCCAGACCCCAGACTAACCAGCTCCCCTAGCCCCTGCTCCAAGCACCAGGCCTCAGCAACTCCCTGGGGAAGGGGGGGGGCAGAAGGGGAGGGTGCGTGGGCTCTACAGGAGCTCTAGCCAAAGCACACCAGGGCAGAAGTTCATCTCTGCTGGGCTCTGACCCTCAGCCTTTGCCGGAGGCACAGAGAGGGCAGAGAATGCCCTAGGCTTCCCAGAAAGGACTAGGACCTTTTCTGTTCCTGGCCTCATCGCCTATGTGACTCTATGCTGCCTCTCCCAGGGCAGAAGGGGTAGGGCTCCAGGACACCAACCAACAGTCCTCATGGAGGGCACTGTCCATCCTGGAAGGATCCAGAACATGTGATTCCATGAGGGCAGGACAAGGGTTCCTATAGTGGGAGGAGGATGGTTTTGGCCCCAGTCTCCCAAGGCCACAGAGGACCTGGGAATGGGGAAGTGAGAGGAACTCAGGACTGGCAGGGGATGAGGGTGAGTCTGGCTGGGAGTGTCCTGACAGACCGCACTGATTTGGTTAGAAACACAGTGTGGGAGATAGTGGAGTCTGGTGGGAGACCGCAGTGCCAAGTTAAAATGAGCAATTCTCCCCATGACCACTAGAGGGCAGGCGCTGCAATCAGCCTCCCTCATCTTCCCAAGGACCACCTCTGTCTTTCCCTGGGGGGCCGGGCTGTGCTTGTTAACTCCACCTGAGCTAAGAGGAGCAGCTCTGGGAGTGTGGGCCAGGAAAAACTCGCAAAGGCTAGCAGCCAGGACTTAGTAATTCCTGGGGGAGTCTTCTCCCGAGTTAGAGACCCTGGAATGAAGCACACCTAACTTCTCTCCCCACCACCCTCTCCTATGTCCCTGGTTGTGAACACACAACCTATTAATCTGACCCAGGTCTCACTCTTCCACTAGCATTACCCTTCAGCTTTGCTGCCCCCATTCCATACAATGGGATTGATGTCTGATAAAGAGTTGGTCTTTTTATTGATGGTTAACAAGCACTTTGAGAGTTTTGGTTAGTCATCAGCCCTTTTAAGTCTAATGGGCTGTTACTTCTTAGTGCCTTACGTGTCTAAAATCCTCATTCAAAACAAAGGTCACAGAGCCCTGAAGCACATCACTGGCGCCCCTGCTTCATTACTCAGTATCCTGGAGGGCTCCTAAATGGACTGGGGCATCCATGGGAGCCCTTTCCTGGGAGGAGGGTCCACCGCTTTCATTAGGTTTTCATGGGGCTCCTTCTCCAAAAGGAGGTAAAGACTACGGATAAGGCTTAACCTCGGATGAAGCCCAGACGGGAGACCTGACACCCGCCTCCCCAGCCAAGGCCACAGGGCCAGTAGTGGCCTCCTGACTGCTTACGGTGCTCTCCCTACTGCCTTCCTTCTTAGGGCCGGGGTAGACCAATGTGTGGGGAGGTCTAGCTTACCTCCTGGAGGCAGGGGCAGTGTCTTCTTCAGGGCGCAGGCTGCTCTCTGGGTGGCCTCTGACCCTCCAAAGGCTTGGCCTGGGCTTCACTGGGCTCAGAGGCTGGCTCCCAGATCCCACACCCGAAGTTCTGGGGAGTTGCCACAAGGGGGCAGTGGTGCCTGGGCTAGCGGCACAGTTAGGACTTGTGGTTCCGGGCCAGCCTCCCAGGTCCCCCACTCACAAGGACTAGATTCTGAAATGGTCTGTCTTTATTATGCCAACAGAAAACAAAAAAATTCCCCAAGTGTAAACAGGAGAAAGGTGCTGGTTAAGTTACTCATCATTATCTTATTATTAACAAAATAAAGCACTATCTATGTTTACAGTCATAAAAAAAGAAACAGCCTGGAGAGAAGTTGGACTGAAGGGAAGGCGGGGGGAGGAAGAGAAGGCGACTGGGGGAGGGGGTTGGCACAGACACCACAACTGCCTCTGTGGGGTTTGGGGTTCCCTTCCCACCCTGACCCAAGGGCTGTTCTGGATCTTTGGAGTCAGGTGCCAGTGGGGTTCTTCTAAGGGACGCAACTTGTCCCTGTAAGCAGGAGCTGAGGCAACTTCCCCAGTCAGTGAGGGAGAGGAAAGGAGCCGGCAGGTCGGAGGGGCAGTCTTCCCCTCACCAGCCCGAGAATGGGGAGCCCCCTCCCACTGCCCACTCACCAGCTGCCATGAGGAGCAGCCCTGGTTCTCCAGGGCTTCCATCAACTGTCAGGAAGGGGGGGGCGCCATCAATCCTCCTATCCCCAACTCCCGGCACTCAGGCTGGGACCAGGGACTGGGGCACTAAGACCCCCTTGGAGGCTGAGCACATTCCCATGCTGCTCGGAGCTAAAAATGGCTGTGTGGGAACCAGCTGGCAGGGGAGAGGCAGGGAGGGAATGAAGGGACAGGCAGGGGGAGGTCAGAGCGGCTGGTGGGCCCTGGGGCTGACCAGTGGTGTCCAAAGGGCAGAGGCAGACCCCAAGAAAGGAAGAAAAGCACAGCCCTGCAGAGAAACGAGGACAGAAACACACGCAGGACACACAGAACCTGAGACACCCAGACTGACAAAGAGGTAGCAATTTGGGGACAGTGAAGCACGGAGAGGCCCCCAGAGAAGCAAGAGTGGCATCGAGAGACACACCCACAGGAACCTAGCAACGGTGCCTGGCACGGAGCAGGCGCTCAGTAAATCCCTTGTGCAATGAGTGAACAGATGGAAACACGCGTGTGCACACACCTACACATACACGCGTGTGCATCAACACAGCAGCCAGAGGCACCACAGGCTTGGCAGAAGATCAAGACAGCGAAGGACAGCTAGACCTTTTTGCACAAAGTACAAAGTGATCCTGGGATAGAGGAGCGATCTGGGAAGGGGGGCGGGGTGTGTGATGGGGGAGGGTGTTGGTCCTACAGGGGCTGGTCCAGCCAGGACGAGAATGGAAACAAAGCATGTGGCCCCAGGGGGAC